ATAGTTTGTAAAGTGAAATATTCCATTTAATAACTAACTAAACATCGGGATATTCATGGATTTGAAACTTCTTGCATAGTTATAATTATATTTGCATATATATAAAGATGAGGAGTGAGATAGGAAGGGTTGCAGAGCGAAGGGCTTCTCCTCATAGGGGGAAAGAGGGTTGGACGACGAGGGTTACCTCTCTGGAAAGGAGAATTTGTGGAGTGAAAGGGTTGGGGGATGAGGGTTTTCCTCCAGAATGGGTGCGTGAGGAGGAAGGGTTAGAGAGTGAGAGTTTTCCTTCAGATTGGAGGGTGTTTGAGGAAGAATTGAATTGCGAGGGTTGCCCTCCAGTATGTGTGTGTGTGTGGAGAAGCCAGGTGGAGGGTGAGCGTATAAGAAGTTAACAATAAAATATAAAATAAAACTTCATTTTAATCAGAAAGTCTATATGAAATTTCCCTCCAGAGTGGCAATTAATACATAAAAAATGAAAATGAAAGCTATGACTCAATCTCGAAATGTTTTTCACCTTGTCTTCATCGCCAAGCTTGGTGTCCTCATTCCACACATTACTGCTTCCGTTCCTGAATAAATCTACATGTTTAATTGTTGCCTTTTGATACCTAGATGAGCTACTCATTTTCTTCCAGCCGTAATTTTATCGACTTGTCACAAAGAGAGAATATTTATATTTATTTCGATTATATTTTCGGTCCCACTGTAGATATTTTTTGATTATTTTTGAGAACAACTGGCGTAGAGTTGACAGCGGCTACAAAGGAGAGGCGTGCTTATGGCAGGTTGTGGATAGCATTTGTGATGGGGATCCCGAGAGTGGCAAGTTTACATAGTAGGGTGAGGACTGCTAGTGTGAATGGCTGCTGATTGGGTGTGACAAGAGTATTCAGTGGACAGTGCTAGCAGCGGCTCCCGTCGTGGTCTGATTTAGATGAAGCTGAAATTTTGTACTTTCAAATATTGGTGTTCATCCTATAATCAAGGATATTTGGCATAGGTCTATAAGTGTGTGTGTGTGTGTGTGTGTGTGTGTGTGTGTCTGCTTGTATATATATGCAAAAAATCGCGAACAAGCGATGCAAGATGCAAAGCAAGCACGTGTTCGTTCAGATTTCATCGTCTTTTCTGCAGTATTGCAAGCTCCTGATGTGTTCATTGCAGCACGAAAGGCCCAGAGCTATATTTTAACTCCTCCCGTAGTTGTTTTGCATGTGTGTGTGTGTGTGTGTGTGTGTGTGTGTGTGTGTGTGTGTGTGTGTGTACTCATCTAATTGTACTCACCTAATTGTGGTTGCAGGGGTCGAGACTCGGCTCCTGGCCCCGCCTCTTCACTGATTACTACTAGGTCCTCTCTCTGCTTCCTGAGCTTTGTCATACCTTGTCTTAAAGTTATGTATGGTTCCTGCCTCCACTACATCACTTGCTAAGCTATTCCACTTCCTGACGACTCTGTGAAGAAGTACTTCCTAACATCCCTGTGACTCGTCTGAATCTTCAGCTTTCTATTGTGACCGCTTGTTTCTGTGTCCCCTCTCTGGAACATCCTGTCTCTGTCCACCTTGTCTATTCCACGCAGTATTTTGTATGTTGTTATCATGTCTCCCCTGATTCTCCTGTCCTCCAGTGACGTCAGTCCGATTTCCCTCGACCTTTCTTTGTAGAACATTCCCCTGAGCTCCGGAACTAGCCTTGTGACAAACCTTTGTACTTTCTCTAATTTCCTGACGTGCTTGACAAGGTGTGGGTTCCAAACTGGTGCTGCATACTCCAGTATGGGCCTGACGTACACGGTGTACAGTGTCTTGAACGATTCCTTACTAAGTTATCGGAACGCTATTCTCAGGTGTGCCAGGTGCCCATATGTTGCAGCAGTTATCTGGTTGATGTGTGCCTCCGGAGACGTGTTCGGTGTTATGGTCACCCCAAGATCTTTCTCCTTGAGTGAGGTTTGCATCCTTTGTCCACCTAGCCTATACTCTGTCTGCGGTCTTCTTTGCCATTCCCCAATCTTCATGACTTTGCATTTGGCAGGGTTAAATTCGAGAAGCCAGTTGCTGGACCATGTGTCCAGCCTGTCCAGGTCTCATTGTAGTCCTGCCTGATCAGATTTAATCCTTCTCATTAGCTTCACATCATCTACAAACAGGGACACTTCAGAGTTTATCCCTTCCATCATGTTATTCACATATATAAAAAATAACACTGGTCCTAGGACTGACCCCTGTGGGACCCCGCTCGTCACAGGCGCCCGCTGTGATACCTCATCACGTACCATGACTCGTTATTGCCTCCCTGTCAGGTATTCTCTGATACATTGCAGTGCCCTTTCTGTTATACATGCCCGACTCCAGCTTCTGCACTAATCTCCTGTGAGAAACTGTGTCGAAGGCCTTCCTGCAGTCCAGGAAAACGCAATCAACCCACCCCTCTCTCTCGTGTCTTACTTATGTTACATTGTCATAAAACTCCAGAAGGTTTGTGACACAGGATTTGCCTTTCGTGAATCCGTGCTGGTTGTTGTTTATAATCTTGTTTCGTTCCACGTGCTCCACCACTCTCCTGATAATCTTCTCCATGGCTTTGCATACTATACACGTCAGAGACACTGGTCTGTAGTTTAGTGCCTCGTTTCTGTCTCCTTTCTTAAAAATGGGGACTACATTTGCCGTCTTCCATACCCCAGGTAGTTGCCCAGTTTCGAGGGATGTATTGAAGACTGTGGTTAGTGGCATGCACAGCGTCTCTGCTCCTTCTCTAAGGACCCACGGGGAGATGTCCGGAGCCCTCGACTTTGAGGTATCTAGGTCACTTAGCAGCTTCTGCACCTCCTCCTCCGTTGTTTGTGTATCATCCAGCACCTGTTGGTATATTCCCTGTTGGTGTTCCCCTCTGTGCTGTCTTCTCAGAGCCATTCCTGTCTCGACTGTAAATACCTCTTTAAATCTTATGTTGAGCTCCTCGCATGCCTTGTGATCGTTTCTTGTGAGCTCCCCACCTTCTTTCCTCAGCCTGATCACCTCGTCTTTGACTGTTGTCTTCCTCCTGGTCATGGACCGGGCCGCGGGGGCGTTGATCCTCGGAATAACCTCCAGGTAACCTCCTGATGTGGCCGTACAGCAGTTTCGGGTCAGACTTGACTTTCGATGCTACGTTATTTTCATACTGTCGCTGGGCCTCCCTACTTACCTGTACATGCTCGTTCCTGGCTCTTCGACTAATCTCCTTATTTTCCTGTGTTCTTCGCCTTCTGTACTTTTTCCATTCTCTATTGCACTTGGTTTTTGCCTCCTTACACCGTCGGGTAAACCAGGGGCTCGTTCTGGTCTTCCCATTATTTCTGTTGCCCTTGGGAACAAACCTTTCCTCTGTCTCCTTGCATTTTGTTGTTACGTATTCCATCATTTCATTTATCTACTTTCCTACCCGTTCTCTGTCCCACTGAACCTCTTGCAGGGAGTTCCTCAAACCTATGTAGTCCCCCCGTTTACAGTCTGGCTTTTCCCATTCAACTCTTGTTACCTTCTCCACTTGTAACTCTACTATGTATTCAAAGCACAGAACCACGTGGTCACTAGCTCCTAGGGGCCTCTCATATGTGATGTCCTCAATGTCTGAACTGCTCAGGGTGAGCACGTCTGTGTGTGTGTGTCTCGCACCGAATAGGTAAAATTGGTCATTTAGCAAGAACTCATTTAAAGTTAATTCCCTTCTAAAATTCTCTCTTATACCTTTAAAGGTATATATTTTTTTTCGTTTATGTACCAAAAGAAGCTTAGAAAATTTACCTAAACTTATCATGACATGGGCAATTTAATTTAGCCTAATTCCCCTAAATATATTTAAGATAAGTTTACAGTAATTTAATAATAAACAAACACAACGAAATCTATTTTTTTTTGTTAGGTTCGGAAGGATTTTTGCGAAATTACTGTATACACAAATTTAGCTTGTTTTATTCTGCAAGAAGAGCGTTGCAATTTAAGCCGGATTCGCTAAGTTTTACCTATTCGGCACTACATTATATATGTAGTTCCTTGATAATGTGAGAAGTCACGAAAGGTTTGAATTTCGTTGTTTTTTCGGTGGTGTTCTGTGCATTTGTGATATCATTGTTTACTGTAATCTTATTGTGTGTGTGTGTGTTATATATATATATATATATATATATATATATATATATATATATATATATATATAAGATGGAGGCACGGTGCGAATATGAAAAGGCAATTAGAGAGAGAAAATTGAAAATAATGTATCTAATAGTATTTCTAACTCAGTTCAAAATAATTTAATTAAGTATTCCTGCCACACAAAAGCCTTATATAATTTTGGACATTGCGCAGAAGATACTTAAAGATTATTACGATGGTTGACAAAACCAGTGGACTCTTACCAAACCACTAATGTATGTCATTGTTACGGCAACAGCTTTACAACAGCAGTAAATCATTTTCGTTAGTCATGTGATGGAAAAGAAGGGATGAGCGAATTCTGCAAAGTTGGAGATGGCGTTGTTAAAAAAAAAAAATATCAGTTTGCGATGGCACGCAATAGCATGTTTAGGAGTTAAGGATTTTCCTCGGGTGAAACCCGGTTGACCTCCCAATCCAGGTCCTGTATGCTTCGGTCCAGGCTACCTAAGGGTATAGTGAATACACTAGATCGATACTATAATTAGAAATACATTAAGGTACCTCTATGAAACATATCACTTTTTGTTTAAGAAGGAGGGATCGAGGTCCGGAAGGCTCGAGGCATGGAGAAAAAAATTCTTCCAGTTTGGACTTGCTACATCCCAGTAATAGGCTACCAGTCTACTTCCTGCCGGACTGAAACCCGGTCTACCTCCCATTTCCCAGGTTCTATATGACCCTTGCGGGTCCAAAGCTTCCTAAAGAGTATAGTATAATAATAATTCTGATCGATACTAATAATAATAGTCACATTAAGTTCTACCTCTATATGCATATTCATTTTTGGTGTTTCAGAAACACGGGTCGACGTCACGGAGGACTCGACGAAGCGACGGAGACATAATCTACTCTCCAAGTTGACGCTTCGACTCACGCCCGCTGATGATGGCTCCCACTACTCCTGCCACGCCCACCACCCCGCTCTCAACACGCCCATGAAGGCCACTGTCAAGGTCTCCGTGCAGTGTGAGTATTGTTCTTCCCCCTGGCTAAGGTTTGAGTTTAACCCCTGTGAGAATGTCTCTTTTATCTCCCTCTTGTTTCCTCTCATTTCCTCTCTCTCCTCTCTTTTATCCTCTCTCTTTTCTTCTCGTTTCTCTCCTCTTTTCAATCCTCTCTTCTCTTTCTCTATTTTCTCTCCTTTATTTTCTCTTTCGCGCTCTCTCTCTCTCTCTCTCTTTTTCCCTCCCCCTCCCCCTACAAGCACCTCCCTCCCCCTCCCCCCTCCCTCACTTCTCTTTTGCTTCTTTCTCACTTCTCTTTCTTGTTAACTTTTATAGCTTCGTTTTTTTACCTATCTCTTATTTTATTTTATTTTTCAGTTTATTTTATATTATGAACATTATTCATAGGAATGGTAAAAAAATTTGTAAATTCATGCAGGTAACCCACGTGTATGTTTGGCAATTGCGTTAATTCATACGCGCATACTAACGCATACACATGCACCGATAAATATGCAAAAACGTACGCCATGCAAAAAAAAAAAAAAATCACAATGCGCACACACACAGTCACACACACCAACGAACGAACACACAGGTCATACACAGACGGGGGAACATCACAGTTCATTTATATAATCGCAAAAGAGACCTGAATTCCTGTGTTTACGAGCACAAATGCATTTTTAAGATATATTTATACAGTGCAGTTGCATTAAAATTCATTGTTCTCTATTACCAGGCGTATCACATTGCGACAATAAACAAAGCAGGTACATCGTGTCATATGTTCATTTATTTCATTGCAATTCACTTCAAAAGGCTTTTAAAGTTTATAAAAATTTTAATATGCAACAGCAATATCAAATATATCACTGGAACAGTCAATAACGTTTAACAAATTTCGGTGTCAAATTACACTCAACATCCTGTTTTCAGTACAGGATTGATTCCCGTTTTCCTTCGTACAGATCCTCCTGGTCCTCCAGTGATCACAGGATACACCGCCGGGGAAGCCATCCGGGCGGGGGAGGAACGGACGTTAACCTGCAGGTCTCGGGGTGGTAACCCCCCTGGCCGCGTCGTCTGGTACCGTAACAACGCCAACATAGACAGCACGTACCGTCCCACGGGAGGAGAGAGCGTCAACGAGTACAAATTCATCGTAGACTCGTCGGATAACGGTGCGGTTTACACCTGTGAGGTGGGGAACAATCTGACGGAGAAGCCGCTCCTCTCATCCGTCAAGTTGGACGTCCAGTGTGAGTAAACTCATTGTTTCTTAACTGTGTCTTTAATTGCTCATTAACGTATCTTGTTTACAGGTTATGCTTCTTTACGTGATGCTCTTTCTTTAATTATGTAGATGAATAGGGAATAAAAGGTCTAACTACCAGACGAGCCTGGCCCATGCCCGGACTCCGGGAGTAGGAAAAGACTCGAAATTCATCAATGGTAAGGTAAATAACTTAGGAGAGGAACCGTCTGAAGGCTTTTCGATCCGTTGTCATCAGGTTCCTTACCTATGTACGGGTTTTAGGTGAACGAGCGAATAGATTAGATTCATATGCGAATTGAATTACTTGTCGTAAAAAGTCGTGTGCATATCAATATGTATGTGTGTTAATCTATTTATCTATATTAAATATTAAATATATGGTATAGATTATGTTCACCTCTAGCTGCAATAATAGGGACTCATAGCCTTGGAGAAACAAATAAAAAATACCTTCGAGGAAAAAATAAATTTCTCCTTGAGGTTGTTAGAATATTCAACTTTTGCCACCCTATCTTTAATACTTATACATACCTGCTTTATTATGCAATATGGAATGCGCAGTTTAAAAGATACATTGATGGTAAATGGATGCAATTAGTACAAAATTCAAAGTGCAAAATTTAGAAGTTGCATTGCAGATGCCCAAGTGACAAAAACAATCGCATACCATACCACGGGCGGGGATAGAACTCGCGATCAGAGAGTCTATAAACTCCAGACAGTTGCGTTAGCCACTGGACCAGCTGGCTAACGCGACGGTCTGGAGTTTTGAGACTCTGATCGCGGGTTCTATCCTCTCCCATGGTATGGTTTGTTTGCAATCGTGTCATTACGATTTCGTGAGTCAAAACAGTGGCATGTTTATTAATAATTACATATTAAAAATTTCTTCCAACTCCTATGAGCTGGGACGCGTACCCAAGATACGTCTAATTTTAATATATACGGGGAAACGCTGAACCCTGTGGGATCTTACAGCTCCTGTGGAATAGGACTGAGATGTGATCCCTGGCAGGTATATATTGTCTAGAAAGACAGTGTATAATGCGTTAGTAGTAATCTTGTTGGACTGGTCATGACCAGTCAAATAAATAGAGCTCACCACTCAGAGGTAGCTTTTCAAAAACAACTGACATTATTTTCTTTTAACTACACCAGTGAGATGCACTGGAATCCTTAGTTTCCCTCATGAGTCTTTTTGCTTAAATCCTTTAGGAACTTGAAAGTTGTTTTCCCAAGAACTGAGGGTATCCGAACATATATCATAGACTTTGAAGACTCCTGAAGTTTGCAGCTGCACCTCCTTCATTTCTTCTGTATAGGAGATGTGTGTTAACCTGTTCGGATGCACTTGTGCTGTCCCTTACAACCTGCTTTCTATCTATCCAAATCTGAAAGGTAATTCCATCGGGACGATTTTGGCTGCTATCGGATCTGCAGAGTTGGGCTGGCATCCTTATTGTTGGGGATCTGGCTGTTTCAAGACTTCTCTTGACGATGACCTCATCATACCTTGAAATCTTTCCCTCAGATTTAAGGCAGATGAGATCATGGTACTCGAATCTACTTGCTGATACTCTGCCACCTGTGTTTGGTGAGGATAGGAGAGTAAGGCGAGGTGGAATTAAGGATGGTCAACAGAAAATCCCCTGTATGAGAAGCACTCACTGTTGTTAAGGCTATATTCTCTAGTTCCGAGCTATCCCTGTGTATCCTTGTGTAGTTAGGGGGGACTGTTCTCGTCGAGGAACCTGGTAGAGCATCAGGGAGCCTGGTCCCCTTAATGAACACTGGGTCGTGAACACCAGTTGTCCCTTAGGTAATCAGCAAGAATCGCCGCTGCAAGTTCGCTGGACGGCAGGCACAGAAAAGGAGGTCAGAAAGTGGGATTTCTGATCCCTGTGTGCATTTGTGCTTCCTAATCTGATTGGAAGTGTAGCTTGTTTTCATTGCCCATCTTCTAGAGTCAAGCTAAGTGTGAGTACTTTGTGAATTTTGACTTCAGGAGACTGTCGTATTCCTTTAGTTTTGGGTTGTCATTTGAGGAGAGACATCTTAAGAAATATGTTAGACTGGTCAGGCTCAAACACTTAGTAAACAACCTCCACCACTCGCTCAAGAACAACCCTCGGCACTCCCTCATGAGCATCTCGCATCTACTCCCTAAGAAGAATCCCCCGAACCTGACCGGAGCCCCAACTTCCACCACTCCCTCAAGATCAACACCCCTAAACACTCCATTAAGAAGACCTATGCACTCACCACCCCCTCATAAAGACTCCCACCACTACTTCCACAAGAAAACTCCCACCACCGCCACTCATGCAAGAGTAAAGAAATTTACCTTCATTTTCAATTATTCCACTTTGGAAAACTCCAGGAAATAAAAACTGGATCGGAGTATACAACAAATTTCAATCACATAATAGAGCTAGAAACTAATATGAAGGACCTGGGAGTGATAATGTTAGAGAATCTCACTTTCAAAGATCTACTAGAAAAATTATTTGATCGATTATAACCTTCAAACCTAGGGATGCCAAGCCAATGATGATTGTCTTCAAATTGCTTGTTTTCTATACGCAGGAGTATTGCTGCACACTAACGGCCCATTTCAAAGCAGCCGAAACTGTAGACCTGGAAATTATACAGAGAACTTTCACTGCACGTGTAAGTTCAAGGAAGCACCTAAATTACTGGGAATGGCTGAAATCCCTTGACCTGTACTCCTTGGAACGCAGGCACTAAAAATACACGATAATTTATACTTGGAAAATCCTAGAGAGACTAGTGCCAAATCTGCACATGGAAATCACTCCTTACGAAAAGAAAAGTCTTAGCAGGCGGTGCAACATATCCCCAATGAAAAGTAGGGGCACCATGAGTACGCTAAGAGACAACACATTAAGTGGCCGGGGCCCAAGATTGTTCAACTGCCTCCAAGCATAATTGAGGGGGATTACCAATAGGCCCCTGGCTGTCTTCAAGAGGGAGTTGGACAGGCAACTAAAGTCAGTACCTGACCAGTTGGGGTGTGATTCGTACGTCGGTGTGCGTGCGACCATGAGTAACAACCTAGCTTATTAGGCCCTGATCTACCACGAGGCCTGGTCATGGACCGGGCTTCGGGAGTTTTAACCCCTGAAACATCTTCCAGGTATACTCCAGGTATTCCCCTGCCATTGAATACCTATCGCTTCTGTTTCCCCATCCCTTCTTTCTCTCCCTCTTTCTTCTTTCTCCCCCCCCCCTCTACCCTGTGTACGTCTCTTTTATCATGGTAATCTCTTTGCACGATCCTCTTAGACCGCAAACTCCGCTAAACATGCGACTCTCTTATGAAGTCACAGGAAGACGGTTGTTTGATATTCATCAGCGTGGTCCACCAAGCAAGGTGGAGCCACTGTTGTTCCTCCCAGCGACTTGTTGTTGTTCCTCAAACTTGAAGGCAGGGAAGTTTGGGCGACAGGAACATGGTAGTGCATAGCAATATATATTGGTTAGCTGCTGCATGGCACGTGAGTGAGCGAGCGAGTAAGCGAGCAGTCAAGCACGGGCACGTATGTACTTCTCGGGAAAAATCAAGAGACAAAATCACAGCAGAGCAGTGTCAAAAATAGGCTGGACGTTTTAGCATGCTTCCAGGACCTTACACGTTTAAACCCAGTGTGTGGTGCTTACGCTGAACTGCGTGCAGCATGCACGTAGTCTGACTGCTCATACAAGGAACCAGGATGCTTGGTTTAAGACCGGGCCACAGGGGTAATGATCTTTTGAAACTCTTACAGTACGGAAATGTCCGATAAAACGGACCTCCATGAAGCGGATATAGGCTAAAATGGAATGTCCTATCTTGAAAGCCTCAACATACCTTAACCTTTGAGTTTCGTGATTTTTTCTACTCCCAGCGCCCGGTCTAGGGCCAGTTTCGTCTGGTTCTTGCCTGGTCAACCAAGATGTCAAGTTTCCTCTTGAAGACTTGAACTCTTATCCCAGCAGTGTTTCTGATATCTGCTGGTAAGATGTTGAATAGTCTGGGGCCACGGACGTTGATATTGTGTTCCCTTATTGTGTCTACTCCGCCCATACTTTTCATTTGAGTTTATTTTTCACTTCCTCTCATGTCTCACTCCATTATGATATAATGGCATTGTGCAGATTTGGGACAAGGCCCGTAAATACTTTCCAGATATATATTATCATATATCTCTCTTTCCTCCTTTCCAATGAGCTCATATTTAAGATGTTAAGGCGTTCCCAGTATTTTAAATGCTTTATTGGCTCTATGCGGGCCGTAAACGATCTCTGTATCTGTTCCAGCTCTGACATCTCTCCTGCCATGAACGAGATCGTGAACACTGAGCAACATTCCAAATAAAAGAGTACAAACGATTTGAAATGGCACCATTGGCACTATTTCCCTTGTTTTGAAAGTTCTTATTATCCACCCCGTCATCTTCCTGGCTCTCTTGAGATTGGCCATATCGTCTTATTTGAAAGAAAGGTCACCTGGCATAATTACTCCCAGGTCTTTCACGTGTTCTCTTCGTTTTAATTATCTTTTTGTGTTTTGTATACAGTATCCTTTTGAGTTCATTCTTTCCATGCCTAAGCAACTGGAACTTATTACCACTGAGCATCATGTTTCTCCATTGCCCACAGAAAAGTTCTGCTTATATCTTCCTGAAAATTGTTCAGTCTTATGCCGAGGTGACTTTCATACTTATTTTAGTGTCATCTGCAAATGATATAAAAGTGTGACGGGTGTTTTTATCAATGACTGCCATGATGATAAGAGACAGCAGAGGTACCAGGACAGTGCCTTGGGGTGCTAAGCTTGTTATCTCACTGATGCTGGATTTTGCTCTGTTTACTAATGTGTTGTGTATGTTAGAAACCCGAAAATCCATTTGCTTACCTTGCCGGTTATATCTATCGCCCTCATTTTGTGTGCAAACACCCCATGATCGCATTTGTCAAACG